AGATGGAATAGAATTTATATATGGTTAGAACATGAAAAGCGCTGAATTGGAACTCACAGCAACCTCTCATATCATCCCGGCTTAATAGGGGACTTGAGTTTCCTTACTCACTGCACTAATAGCTCTACAAAAGTCACTTTTTAAAGAAATGTTAGGGAGCTGCTCTTAACCTGCTTTATCAGACTTTTTCACCAATATCCATTAATGTTCACTTAAACTTCAGACTGCTGCTCCCTGAGATGACTTAAATCAGTTCGCTGATCTCTTTGTACCTGCTAATCCCGATCTCAGTAATTTCCACGGAGAATCGACACTTGAAAGACTCAGGACAGAACTCCTCCATCCTCTCTGTCTCAACCCCACCTCCTCCCCCTTTGTAATCTCTTCCATCTCACTAGAACTTCCAGTTTGATTTCCCTCCACCTGTTTCAGGAAGCGAGCAACGACTCAGGAAAGCTCATACTTAAATAGTGCATTGTTAGCCTTTAAAGCACCTGACTGGACTTTCGCTTTCATCTGCTACGCAGTAAACATACAACGGGGGGGCGGGGGACACAATTTCTCCCGGGAAAGCATGCGTAGGATCGCAGCCAGAGCAGTGCAACCCTAAAAGACGCTTTACACCGCAAGGCTTACTCCCAAGTAAACCAGCCCAAAAAGCACTGCGCGGGAGACGGCACGTCCAGAGCAACACAGCCTCGTTACAATGTATCCACCCCCCGAATGTTGGCCCCCTCAAAGTTCCAAAGGGGTAGAGCCCCGATACCTCCCTGTTGACCTACCTGCCGGTAGGTCTCCTTCCAAGACGGGGCTCGGGAGCCCTTGTAGAGACGCCGCCGCTGCTGGATCAACGACTCCATCGAACCGGCCATGACGGCGAGCTCCGCGCACTGCCGCTCCAACTATTACCGCCTTCCCACCACCTGCCTTTGTGCGAAGCACACTGGGGGATGTAGTCAAGCAGAAGCACTCCAACTTCCGGTGCGTGACGGGAAACACCTCCTTTCTTAAGGCAGCCGAACCGCTCGCCCGTTGCATTTTGGGAATTGTAGTCTGTGAAGGAGGCGTTAGAAAGAACATCCAGCGGCGGTTCGATAGCCGTCGGGTGTCTTGAAGGAGCGGGGGTGGCTGTCTGCCCAATATGTCTCTAGTGGGTAAACCGTGCCCTTAGGTGGGGGGGGGGGGTGTTGGTTGGTAGCAACTGTATGGTCTCGAAGACTTCCCCTCCCGCAGTGCCCTCTGGGGCGGCGCGAGGCTCACGCATCGGTTTGGCTGCCTCTCGGCGACACACTTTTCAGTGGGGAGCAACGATGGCGACGGCGGCGGCAGCAGTGCCGGCGGCCGGCCTGGGAGAGTACTGGCGGAAGGAGCTGCCCAACCACGCCGTGATCTGTCGCCTGAGGGAGCAGGCCGCGGAGGCCGAGTCGGCGCCGGGGGACAAGCGGGGGGCTCGGCCGGCGCTTCCGTGGGACTTGATGTTCGGCCTGGGCAGCGAGCTCTTCCTCTGGGACGGCGAGCGCAGCGCCTTCTACGCCCTCAGCCTGAGGAGCCTGGGCGGCGGCGGCGAGCACGACAGCCTGGGCCAGTACCAGGTGCGGCCTCGCTTCGTTCTCTTTGAGGCCTCCCACCACCACCACCACCACCAACGTTCCCTCTAAGCTGTGGAGTCCTGTGAGCCAAAATTCCACTTTGTGAGCTGCCGGCATTAAAGTTGCAAGCGAGCAATTTGGCTGCTGCATAAATCCAGTTTGCTCTGGAGCCCTCCTTCCTGAGCTGAGGCGAAAATGTGAGAGCCGGAGGCTAAAAAACTGTGAGCTGGCTCACACTCACTCAGCTGAGAGGGAACACTGCCCGCCACCACAGGGAGCCGTGTGCTGTGGCCGTGTCGTGCTCTCAGGGGCTAGAAAGCGTCTCCGTGGGAAAATCCCCGCACGTGGGAACCTAGCACTTTTCCCTCTAGCTTCCTCTTCCTGCGGGCGTTGGTGTCGTGTGGTTTGTCCATACAAAATGATATAGTCTGGGTATAAAGAGCCAGTTCGCTGTAGGGGTCTAGAGAGACACCCCCAGTGCAATCCTAAATAGAGTTGCACTTGTCTTAGGGTTGCCAGGTCTGGGTTGGAAAAATACCTGGAGACTTTGGGGGTGGATCCAGGAGAGGGCGGAGGTTGGGTTGGGGAGGGGCCTCAGCATGGTCCAATGCCACAGAGTCCACCCTTCAAAGCAACCGCTTTCTGTCAGCTGGAGATCAGTTGGAAAAGCGGGAGATCCCCAGGCCCCACCTGGAGGCTGGTAACCCTGACTTGTCTGTGCCCAGTTAGGGTTGCCAGCTATGATTCTACACACTTGTCAGGGATGCTGGAGGCTGATCCTGCATTGGACTAGATGGCCTGCACGTCCCCTTCCAACTCTGTGATTCTAGGATTCTCCAGGTTGGAGAACTCCTGGAGGTTTGGAGATGCAGTGTGGGGAGGACGGGGACCTCAGTGGGGTCCAGTGCCATAGAGTCCAGCCTCCAAAGCATCCGTTTTCTCCAGGGGAACTGATTTCTGTTGTCTGTAGATGAGCCATAATTCTGGGTGATCCCCAGGTCCCACCTGGAGGCTGGCATCCCTAATCGATGTCAGTGGACTTAGAAGAGTGGAACTCTGTTTGAGACTGCTGTGCCAGGTTCAAATCCCTGTCCTACTATAAAGCTCTCTGAGAAACTTGGGTCAGTTACTCTGGCTCAGTCTAGCCCAGTGGTGGCACCTATGGCACGGATGCCAGAGGTGGCACTCAGAGCCCTCTCTGCGGGCACGTGTGCCATCACCCCAGCCAGGCCCAGACCATCATTAAAGTGTCGAATTCTCTGCCAAATAATTTTAACTAAATGAAAGCATTTGGGATCATCTTAAATTAATGTATGAGTTGTTTTTTTCTAAAGTAAAACCTCAGTATTCAGGTTAAATTGTCTTGTAGGCACTTTGCGATAAATAAGTGGGTTTGGGGTTGCAGTTTGGGCACTCGGTCTCTAAATGGTTCACCATCACTGGTCTAGCCTTACAAGGTGGTTGTGAGGGTAAAATCGAGCATGCGAGAACCATGAATGCTGCCTTGCATTTCTTCGTGGAAGGATGTGGAAAAGATATCATGAATGCATGTTGAATATTTGCCAGTCAGGCAAAACAGTTTTTTAAAAAAAAGGTTTACAGGACCCAGACTGAAACTAGCGAAGCAGGGAAGAGACGAGCAAAGCTTGAAACCCTCTTCCTAGAATGCAGAAATCAGCACATCAGAGAGAAGCTTAAGCTCAAACCCTCCGATGTGCTTGTTTGCGAAGTGCAAGGAACTTTGCTGTATGGAAAGGCAGCTAAACCTTGTTTGTTTTCAATAAAGCTCAAGGACATGTTTTTAAAGGCTAGAGTTTCTGCATGGAGTCTAGCAGAAACACATGGAGGGGGGCTGCAGTGTTTGAACACCATTTGCACTTCAGTCAATATAATTGGGAGTCTGGACCCCACACTACCAGTTCCTGCAGCCAGAGTTCAAGTATTATCATTATTATTTATTAAATTTTTATCCCGCCCTCTCGGCCAAGGCCGGCTCAGGGCGACTTACAGACGGATAAAATTCCCATAATAAAATCAATAAAATCACATACATTAATAAATACAGCATTAAAATTCAAACAAGATAAAGTGCTAGCAACATTCCTCATATTCCAATTGACTATTAGGTTCTAGCCTCATCTCTGAGGAGGTAGTTTTCTGTGTGCAGGATTTTAAAAATATGGATAAGCACTTCACCTGCAATCGAGCTGTACAGTCTAGACACAGGTATTTGCTGCTTCATGAGAAGTAGACTCCTACCCTACTTTGAACTTGTTTGTTTCCTTTTTCTGTAGCCATTTCAGAAAATGGAAGTACTATTTAGGTTTTTTGGATTCAGGCAGTAGGGGACGATGGGTTTGCAGGGTTGCATTGACTAGCCTGTTCTTCCGAACGGCAAGCGCTAATTACAGCATTCAGCTTGGAACTTTGTGTTCTTTGCATTGCCCATTCAGCTGGCTGCTTCTCTCCCTGCTGGGTTACTGACTTTTCAGCTGGCCGCTTGGATGCTGCTCCTCTTACATCTTCATTGCATCTGAAAAGTCGTTGCAAATTATGTTTTTGTAATTTCGAGCAAGGGAAACCTTTAACTTTAATAGTGTGTACAGGTTAGGGTTTCCCCCTCTGCTCAGTTAGCAACCCTGGTTTGAAAATAAAGCAGCAGTCATCCCATAATAGCTTGCATTCAGTCAGGGAAAGATCAGTGGTGATCATTGGTTTGACCAGAGCAGCAAGTGGTAACAAACAGCCATCACAGATAGTCTTCATGTCCTATTCAGTAGAGGCAATTCAGACTTTCTGCTACCACTTATCAAGTGATGTGCGTGCGTGTGTGTGTGCGTGTGAGAGAGAGAGCATTGTATAAAGTTTATCTGCTCACATGCACACACACGTTGGAATATTGCACTATTAACTGGCTCAGCATTTTCATTTCCAGACGCTGCTCTGCATAAATCCACCCTTTTTTGAGGTCTACCAAACCTCACTGAGTCCTACACAACAGTATGTAGCTCTTATAGGAACAAAAGGGCTAGCAGTACTGGAGTTACCAAAACGTTGGGGAAAGAACTCTGAATTTGAAGGTGGAAGGGCAACCATTAATTGTAGGTACGTAACACCTCAGATTTCCTCATGCTTCTTGACCGCTTTAAAACTGGGGCTACTTGGTGTTCCTTTTCCTTCTTTCTTTTGTCTTGGGACTTGCCAGGAAACCGTTATGATATGTGATACATTCTCTCTTGGGGTTTTGCTCTCTTCTGGGTTGTAGGCACTGTGTATGGAGGGCCTCTGTTTTGCTTGTGCACATTCCACTAGGGGATGGGAGTTCGTTTTCATACCTCTTCCAACGGGTGTTTGAGATGCTGTATGTCAATGAAAAGAAAAGTAGCATTTATTCCATAGTGGATTTTATTAAGTAAGCAAAAAAAAAAGGGGGCAGCATTCATCACTCAGTGATTGGGATACCAAGTAGCAACTGAAACAGCCTTAACAGATGCAGCGTCACAAAGAGGGCTCATATATCCTGTTCAGTGCAGGCAGTTCAGGCATTCTGCTACCATTTACCAAGCAATGTGCTTTGTGGGCAGTTGGCCTCATGTTTGGTCCTTGATCTCTCCGGTTTGAAAAATCACTTCTGTGTAAGGATCTCACAATGCAGCTTCTGTCTTTGTTTTTTTGATTGGGAAGAAAGGTGTGCAAGCTCTTCTTTGGAAGGAGCAGCAGATTTAGTCCAAATTAGCGTAATGTGTTTGATCAGATCCACAGATGACACTTGACATGCTATTGGGTGGTAGGAGAAGAGTTGGCAGCAGAGATTTTATTTTTCTCACTGTGGGAAGAGTAGAAGAGAATATGGCACCCTATCCTTGACAGCACTGGCCACCATGGTGTGGCCATTTTGATGAGTGGTTTTTTTTTTTTAATTTTTCCAACCTGACTCCTTAAAAGGGTACTATGAAGTTTGAACAGTAGTGCAGGAAACATGTGCATCAAACATGTGTCATGAGGCCAGCCGGTGGCAAGGCCTACACAGCAATTGTTGCTCCTGATTTACACAAGTTGACTAAGTAATGTAATGCATACAGGACTTCTGTTAGCTAAAATAACTTGCTGAAATACATTAAAATTGAAATTTGCCATCTATGTCTAGCTTCACTGATTATTCAACCAAAGGGGGAAAATATCTACATGTAATATTTTTATGAGCGTTAACAACTGGTTTAGTCTGTTTGCTGACGGGGTTGCCAGCTGATCAGGAAAAAACTGCAGCCTCACCTGCTCTTGTGCAGCTGGATCATCAGAAATTGGCAGATGAACTT